ATGTCTATTCTAGTATCCTTTCATTAATATTCTCTATCTGGTTTATAATGAATTTTGTCCATTTACGTTTCAATAAGGGAAAGAGACTCCACTTCACTTGCTCTAAAGCTCTTTGGGTACACCACTCCAAATATGAAGATATTCATTCAAAATTTCTTCACTCTGTCATTTTCACTTCGTTTCCGTAAGTATAATTATGTCCAGGTTCTTTTCAATTTCTGAATGATCTCCCTCTGCTTTTTCGACTAGGCCTTGTATATTCACAATGTTCCAATTTTCATTGTCCGTTTTCGTAGCCTTTGTCGTAAATTTAATTTTGGTCCGGACCGAGGCATATTTAAATCACTTTGAACTGAAGCTTTTTTTATGGAGCCGGAATGTTAGCCCCGCGTCCAACCCCCATGCTTAATCCTGGAGGTAGATTTTTTTTCGGGGTTGTCATCCCTTAGGAAGGTTGGTTTCACCACACCTATGGAGGTCCCCCTCCCCCCTTGGTTTTCTGTCAGGGTTTCCTTCCCTTAGCTCATGGTTCCCGTTTTAAGACGCCGGAAACTCGCCTTTCGTCCCACCCTTTTCGTTACTCTGAGGTTCTCACCCCGCAGAGAATCCAGGGCCACCACCAGGAGGTTTGGGAAGACTTGATGACTCAGCCTTACTACAAAGGCTCCCCATTACAGGAGGGCTTTTCCTGATATTTAATGGTGTATACTTCAGTATACCCCACCAGGGCCCGAGTCACCCATTAGGACCCCTGAAAGAACGTTTAAGACAAAAATGCAAGTCTCATTTTCGTTGGCATACCCAATTTTTCGAAAATGGAGAAAGGGGAGCGAATTGAAACTGCAAAATTCGATAGAGATTTTTATCTCAAAGTCTGTTGTACAAAAGTAGCTCTTCCAAAAAGGCAACTTACAATTTTTTTGAAAAACTAACAGGTTTTGAATTATTTGCGATTGAAATTTACTAAGAAAATTCTCAAAAACCGCCCCAAAGTTTTTCTTTAAATTTTCATCACTTGTGTAATGAGAGACGATAAAAACTTGGTGCTATTGCTCGTTTTTTGAAAATTTAAAAAAAAAAATCATTTTCAAACTACAAAGTTGGAGTTACTTTTGCCTCAGACAAACTCTGTTGTACAAAATTAGCTTTTTCTCCACATATGCAATAGGGAACGGTAAGAAATTAGGCGCCAGTTTCATTTTCGGGTATTGCTCGACTTTTTCGAAAATTGCAATAAACTTTTCTAAACTTCAAAAATGAATATAGAGATTTTTGCCTCAGACAAAATCTGTTGTACGAAATAAGCTCTTCAAAAAAGATCCGGTATAATTTTTTGGAAAAATGAGTTTTTGCGTAATTTCTAGTTGAAATTTATTAAATATATACAGCTTTCACTCGGGCCACGAAAAATAATTAATTTATTTTTATTTAATATTGAATATGCTAATATTCCTTCAATTTTACACTTTCGTTTTTTACTTTTTACTCAATTTGTATTCTCAATGTATTAATGTATTTATTTTTAAGCAATCTGCAAAGCTTCATAAAAATATAGTAACAATCCAGCACTGTTTGAGAAGCTAATTGTGGTAGAATTTCGAGATGCTGGCGACGATAAAAAGCAGCTGTTTTATTAACTCCAGCTAGTGATGGTGTAACTTATAGTCCAAGAGCCAGTACTTCCGTTTGCGATTAATTTCGCAGCATTGTTTATAAATTACTCTTCCGAATGCCCGGTGAGATATTATATATAATTTAATGTCATCTGATCCCTAAAAAAATTACTGCTTATTGAATAAAAGAAAAACGATTGAACGCTATCGGTACTATTCTTACGACGAAAGGCAACTCAGGAGTGAGCAGCTAGACTTTTCGTAATTATTTTGATGTCAATTGATTATAATCTAATTACGGTATTGATATTATTAGCCACGCGAATGCACATAGTTTGACAACGCTACGCTGGCAACAGTGCGTTGCTCGCTTCTTGGTTGAATTGGAAGTAATAGCTGAGGAGTAGGTAGCGCAGAAAATTCAATATTTCAACATTACCTAGCTGTTTCTAAAAACGCGAGAAAGTATGTGCTGTTGGAGCACTAGTTAATATTGCACATATTACACGCAATATTGCGCGAAAACTACTAAAATTTTCAAAATAATGTAAATGACCTTAATACAAGAACTAACAATAGAGAACAAATTTTATTTGAACGAAAAATCTCAATTTTTAATATTGTAGTTGTAGGAAGGTGCCGAAAAAATTCAAACTTTTGCAACTATCGAAAATTCACATCACGTAAAATCGGACATATGCCGTCTTAATCAGTGTACTTGCGGTATTTGGAGGAGAAAAAAAAGTCGTACGCACAGTTTAGGCGCTAGAGTTGTTCACATACACCAGACGGACAGTCAGACGGTCGGAAGTAATGCTATCAATCGATTTTTCTGTATCAAGAATAAAGAAAACACAGATTTTGGCTACACCCTGTGTTAGAGGATGTTTATAAGTTTAGCAACTGGATTTATGGTTTTCGTTTTCAGGATCCAGCAATGCATTTTTTCTGCAGAAAATCCGCGAATCATTGCACAACTTTCCCTACCCTACGTATATTACTCTGTACATACGATGTATACGAAAAAGTAAAAAGAATTATCTAATGAGAGCAATGAACAAAAATGTTATTAACGTTATTCTGTATGCAGTAAACTCTTGATTTTACTGAATTCATTTTCTAAATTGAATATTAAAATTAAACATTTTACTAATTAAAAAAATTATTTGGGCTAATATGCGGCCATACCATTTCAAAACACAATAACTTTTTTTTAAGTCTTACTCCGGCGTTGGTCAAAAGCCTTTAATAATAACACACTTGAGTGTACACGGAACACATTGCTCGATTCTAGACGTTCTTCAACAATACGATATCTGTTGACTCCAGAGGTCGGCGACCCGGCCAACGGTTTCTGCTGGCCCCGGCAAAGGAGGGTCGGTCGTTTCCAAGGGCCCCGAGGGGGCGGCGCCCCGCCGCAGGTAGGAGGAGCAGACGCCCACAGGTCGTCCTTCATCTGCCACACCAGAGCCTTTTGACCAGGGCCGGATTTAAGTAGTGGGACCCCAAGCACAAAATTGTGTTGCCCCCCCCCCTCCGAAAAATAGCTTCATCTTTATTAAATAAAAAATGTATTATAGTACAATTACAATGAGGTTTGCATAAAAAAATTACATATTCAGTTATAAGTAAAGGAAATAAAGTATAGTTAATATTAGACTAATTTAACATGTAATAAATATTTTTAAAAAATGTTTTGAAATTGTACATTTTGTTACACAGTAGACTACTTGATTAACAATTATTTCACAGACAAAAAAAGATTGTATGCGTATTTTTCCGAAACGCGGGGCCCCCAAGCAACTGCTTGTTTTTCTTGTAGGTAAATCCGGCCCTACTTTTGACGCGCAATCGTCGTAAGTGCAGCAGGTTTTCATAGTTCATGGAACTTAATTCCGATAATCAATATCGTGAAAAGATTAGCGCAGTTGCGACTTCGCGCGCTGGCGGTACGTTGTGCATTAACAACGCGTATACATGCGACCTTCCGCGCTGGCGGTACTTAAAAAAAAAACACACGAAACCTATTATAAAATTTGAACTGCACACCAAGTGCGAACCCGAGTGAAGTATATTCATCAAGTGATTTCTATCACAGCCTCCTCTTCTCCCGTTGTCTAAAAACCACGTGTTTTCTCGACGTGCCCCAAGTGTTCTTTCCAACGCCCGACGAGACTCCCCTAGTCTCCTCCCCCCCTTCCCTCAAAGATCCGAGGTTGCTCCCTTTTATGAAAAATGTCTGCCACCATTGCGTACCATAATGCACTACATCGTAAGAAAGCTCGAGCCAATCACCGAAGGTTTCTGGAGAGTTCGTCCGCGGAAAGTTCCGATATCTCCGTCTCACTCTTATAAAATGTTTATAGTGGGCACGAAGGCTGTGCTGCGCGTTTCGTCGACGTCGGTGGTCCCAATTTTTTGGACGTTTCACAGAGTTTGGATTTGCCTCTGTGAAACATGCAAACTCATTTTGTTGGTACAAATTTCTCACGAGATTGTCAGGGAATCGAACCCTGACTTGTTGGTGAAAGGCAAGCGACTTCTTACACAAGAACTGAAAGAGATAACAGTGCCAGAGAAGGATAAGAGCAGATTCCCGTAATGATCATGAAATAAAAACACACTTGAGAAAGGGAACTAGAAATATTCAAGACATCTTGGTTAAAAATGGAATGCAGCGATTAGAACTACAAAATGAAGCTATAGACAACTTATTATTTCTTAATTTATTGACTTTATTTACATTCCTGTCTTTTTCTATTGTATATAAGGGTAGAAAAAAAAAAGAAGAAAAAAAAACAAAGAAAATGTAGATATTACAATAAATATTACATATTTTAATAGTTAAATAAGAACAGTTCATATGCAAATAAAATAAAAATATACAAGAACTAGAACAAAATGTGTTCAACCATTATTGAACAATCAATTATGCATCAAATGTTTTGATTGCACACATAACAAGTGAGCAATATAAAATATCAAATGGAACGGAAGTAATCATGAACACAAGTGTAAAATATAAAAAGTATTGATAAATATCCAGTATTATTATTGATAATAATAAAAAAGACTAAAAACATTAAATGAAAAATTGAAAACTACACTAATTATATCTTACACCTGGCAATAAGTAGGATATAATAAAAGTATTACAAAAGCAAAAATACAAATCAAAAACTGTAACATTCTCACTCGCCAAGAACCTCTCACAGTTCAAAGGTCTATGGTAAACATAATTTTTTCCTATCGTATGAGATTTTCAGATATTAAACATTAAGGAGAGCACCTGATTGTTAATCAATATAATTTCAAAGGTTTGAGATTTAGCTCTTTTAAAAAAAATAATACCTTAGAAACATATATGAAAGATTAATTATAAACTTCCTACCTATTAAACAATATATTTAATCCCTCTTCATACTTTTTACTTGCAAAAAACTTCTTAGCTAAATTCATTGAAACAGATGTTTTACATATTTTTTGTAGTTCATCATTGAATGGGTATTCATTACGATTTGCACAGTCTATTATTATTTCTTTTCTTTCATTACAAGCATTTAAAATTGCCTTCATAGTATCTACCTCATGAACCATTTTCAGTTCTGAAATGAGTTTCACATTTCCATTCTCAGCATATGAAAACAACTTATCAACAAGGGTTAACAAATGTGTGATATCTTGGTTTATAGCAAAGTCTAAAGGGGTTTTCTGTTCTTTGTTTTTAAAATTATACACAGCCCCATTAGCCAGTAATGTTTTTACAATCTTCAGATGTGAGAACTTAGTTGCGTAATGCAAAGGTGAACAACCACCTTTTCCAGAAATATTAGGGTTTGCAGAATTGCTTAGCAAAATATCCACTATATTTGAATAACCTTTCCAAGCAGCAAAAAGCAAAGCAGTGACATTATCTTTGTTTTTAGCATTTATGACAACTCCATCCTGAATACTTTCTTCCACGAGACGAAGTGAATCAATTTTCACAGCTCTAAACAACTTTTCAACGGCCAAAAATATATTACACATATCTTCATTACGAGCCATTTGCAAGGGGGTTGCTTTATTTATTTTATCTACAACATTATAGTACGCTCCATGCTCCAATAAAACCTTCACCAAATTCTTGTGACACATGATTACAGCCATATGCAAAGCAGTCATTCCATACGTATCAGCTACATTAACATCAATGTTTTGTTGTAATAAAAAATTCACAGTTAGGATTTGCCCTGCTTGCACAGCATAATGTAGACATGTTTGTTCACAATGACCACGAATATTTATATCCAGTCCTATGTTTAGGAAAAATTGTACAGTTTTTACATGGCCCTCTCTTGCTGCTACATGAATTGGGTTTGAACCCTTTGAGTTACTTGCTGTAACATTAGCTCCTTTGCTCACTAAAAATTTTACCATATCCAAATGCCCCTCCTGGGCTGCAATATGGAGTACAGTGTAATCATCTTTCCCTTTTTCATTGATTTTTACTTTTCTTTCTTTCAATAACATTTCTGCTATTTCTACATGACCCGTAGCCGCTGCTTGCTCCAGAGGAGTAGTGTTCACCAAATCTCTTGAGTGTGCAGGAACCATTTTGCTTTCCAAAAAAAGTTCAACAATTTTTTTGTGACCTAAAGCAGCTGCTCGATGCAATGGGGTGGTTCCAAAACTATCAATTAAATTTGCATTGGCATTCTTATCTAACAAAAGTTTAACTATTTCATAATGACCTCTTTCAGCAGCAGCATAAAGTGGAGAACATAATAGTGTTGAAGAAGGCTTACTGAACCCCATAGACAGCAACAGTTTTACTATTTCAACATGTCCTTTAAAAGAAGCCACAAATAAAAAGTTGGGAGTTTCATTCTTAGGTGCTATTTGATTTCTGGATTTTTCCAATATTATTTTAACAATTTGTTTGTATCCAAAATATGTTGAAGTCATTAAGCATAAACTTCCTCTAACCCAAATTTTAGCTCCTTTGGATAACAACAGGGATGTAATGGCAGAATTATTATTGAACTCTGCAAGGTATAAAGGAGTCAACACCCTGGTATCTTCTGTCCATTTATTCCCATACCTTTTTAGAAAAATAGTTTGCAATTCTGGAACATCTTTCACCATTACCTCAAGCAACTCTTTTTGAAACTTTTCTACCCAATTTGTTGCTCCTTTGTTAAGACATGAATTATTATTTATTGTTACTTTAGCATCAATAAAAGAGCCACTTTGAATCAATATTTTAACAACATTGATATGATTGGCTTGGACTGCTAGATGTAAAGGAGATACATCTTTAAAGTCAATTGCGTTTACATTAGCCTTTTTGCTTATTAATTTTTCAACACTTTTCACGTTTCCTTTCAAAGATGCCAAATGTAATGCAGTAAAGCCATCTTTATCTCTGCAATTGATATTAATCCCTTTTTCTGTTAAAATCTCAATAGCATTACATACATCATACAATGCTACAATGTGCAGAGATGTTCTTTCATGTTTGTCCCTTGCATTAACATCGGCTCCTTTCTCCAGTAAAAGACGTATCGTATTGATGTGACCTCTCCTACAACTTAAATGCAGTGGTGTAAAACCTTGCATGTCTTTGGCATTTACATTCCCACCTTCAGACATTAAAATCCTACAGATCTCCTGACAATCGTTTTCTGAAGCTACATGTAGAACAGTTTGATTCTTCTCATTTTGAGCATTAACATTTCCTCCATTTCTAATCAAAAATGTAACAATTTCTTTGTTATCTTTCACAGCACTGAGATGTAATCCAGTACTACCATTCTTACTTGCTGCATTCACAGATGCCCCATTTTTTATTAGAACATGCATGGAGTTCATATTTCCTTTTAGGACAGCAGAATGAAAGGAAGACCTACCTTCCCGACACATGTCATTCATTCCAGCTCCTTTTTCCAATAAAAGTTTTATAATCTGTACGTAACCTCCTTGAACAGCATATCTTAAGGGTGTGTAATTCAATATTTTTTCTGTCATATTTACATTGCTTCCTTCTTCTAACAATAATCTAACAACTTGTTCATGACCATTCTTAACTGCCAAGTGTAATGGAGTACAATCTTCTCCATTTTGATCATGAACAGAAAAGCCTTTGGAAATCAAATACTTCACAGCTTGTACAAAGCCTTTCTCTGCAGCTATATGTAATGGAGTTCCAAGAATATGATGCTTTATTTTAATGTTAAATTTATTTGCCAATAAACCATCCATTAACTTAGCACACCCACTTCCAGCAGCAGAATATAATGAGATAAAAATATCCACTGCATTATAATTGAATTCACTTTCCTGATCAGATAATACCTGTACACTGCTGTCGCAGAATATTTTACAAATTGAAGGTTTTATGTCAGAGCTGAATGTATTAAATTCAATTCCACTTTTCAATAACCATAAAACAATATCTTCACAACCATTCTGAATTGCAAACAAAAATGGGGTTTTACCCATATTATCGGTTTCATTGATGCTGATATTGGTTTCATTAATTAAGTACTCGACAATATTTTTTCTACCACACTTAACAGCTGTGTGTAATGGATTTTGACCATTAATGTCCTTAACATTAACACCCATCTTTTGATCCAAAAGATATTTTATTGCCTCAACACTACCTCCTTGTGCTGCAAAATGCAATGAAGACCACAAATTACAATTTTTGCCATTAATATCTGCTCCTTTTTTAATACATCTTTCCACGGTTTCAAGTTCTCCCTTTGCCAGAGCTGTGAACATGTTATTCTGATTGGCTATTGTATTTTTATCCGTGGTATAGTTTGTGTATGCTTTAGCAAATCTATTTACCATTACTTCTTGATGGTTTTCTTTTTCTGATAGTAAAATACCATGACATATCAACATTGCATTTATAAAAGTTGAAGCAGAAGGATCAGAAAAGTAAGAATCAATTAAAATATTGTTTTTTCTCAAGAAATCATACAATCTTTCTCCTTGTAAAATGAAGCCTTCTTCTTGAAAAGACCAAGGACTAATAATAGTAGGCTCTTTTTGTAAAGAATGCAATTCATCTATAACTAGAGTCTCCACCACAGCCTGAATACATTTATTATTTTGGTAACATAAAAAATCATTAAATATCTCAGTATTCATTTCTAAATGATGTAGAAAATTATCTGAATTACCAAAAATGCTAGGGACTAATTTTGATATCACGTCAAAGGTGCTGGTATTCAATTTTGATGAAACTTTTCCATGCTTGCATTTTATGTCATTAATATCACCTCTGTTTTCACATTCACTGCTGAAATAGCTTGAGTTTAGTTTGTTCCACAATTCATTAACCCACAGTGTCTGCCCTGTATGGAGTTCTGTTATTTTCAAAATGTGCAGAATAATGTTATATAGTTTATTTGCCCCATTCTGCATCCTAGGCACAATGCTGTACCATATCTTCAATATCATTTCAATTATGGATTGAACAGACTTGCACACCTTTTGTGGTTGTAAGTACAGTAAAATTTGGTTAGCAGTATGCTTTATATGGATAAAATCTGCGTCAGTCATGTTCTTACCCCGAATGTAAAATTTCAAATATTGTAATCTTGAGATAGCCATCTCAAAATTTTTTGATTGTTGATTGGATTTTTCATCATCTAGAAACTCCTGAATATTATTCAGTAGTTCTTCTTCATAGAGTGTTTTATCTGTCACTAAAATATTGAACTGAATAATGAATTTCTGTACTTGTTTAAGTAATATCATATCTGTGTTTGGCAAAATGACATCTAATATTACAGTGTCTAATCTGTCTAAAAATTCTTTTACATTATTCAAGCAGGTCTCATTAATTACATTCTCCAAAAGCCTCACAAGAGCATGGATTTTAGTTTCATTAAGAATATTGGTCAGAATATGATTAAGCTTGCACATATCCTTGAAAAGATCATTTACACATTTGCTATCTTTGGATATTGAGGACACACACACCTTTGGATTGCATTTACACAATAAAATGTCCCTTGTACTTTTCGACACTGCTTGTAACAAAAACTCACAAGTAATATGAGATAATTTGGGAAATTCTACAACATTTGCCCTCAGAACTTGTAAACATCTTGTAAGGAGCAAAAAAAAGTATTCCCACTCTGTCCCTGCAGATTCAACTGCTTCTAAGTAACACTTCATGTTGTATAACACAAATGCATTTTTAATACTATCATGCTCATAATTCATCTCATCAAATATAGATTTTTGCTTGTTCTGGTTCACATTGTGTAAAAGGTTTAAAACATTACTTTTTTCTGGGCTTTGAAAATCTGCTGTGTTTCTAGCTAAGCTACTTGAAAATTCATTTAAATAACCCAATATTTTCCTTCTGGTTAAGAGAGAGCAATATATGAATCTTGGGTCTGATGGATATATTTTAGTTTGGATAAATGCAAATAAGAGAAATATAATTTCCTGGCATTGCAGTTTTGAGTGAACAGAATTAAAATCTCCTAAATTAGACAAACTAAATGCAGTAAATTTCATTGATAACAAGCACATATCATCAATTTCTTTACCATTATATGCTGAAACTAAGGAATTAATGTGCTTTATGATCTTATCAATTTGTTCACCATTAGATATACTATTTCCAATAGCTTCAACATTTGAAGAGGAACAACAGCTTTCGGAATGATAATGATTATACATTGAAATGCTTTCAGTAAATATTTTCACTTCCTGAGAAACCTCTACATTCTTTAATATTAATTCATGATAGGATTTTAATACCAACATGATGAATTCCTTAGACCTTGCACTAAAATTACAACCTGGCCATTTAAAACAAAGAGTTTTTAAAACATCAACATTATCATTACGAATAGCATAATAAAATGCATTGTGGTGTTGCTCATCCTCATGAATTGGAAGAGGAAATCCACCAATTATTCTTGATAATGTATCTTTGTTGGAAAAGAAATACCTCAAAACATTTGGTCTATTTAGTTTGCAGGCTAAAATTACTATATTGGTGCCCTGCAAATGTGTTGAAATGTCTGCATCAGTATTACTTTCTACTTTCTTCAATTTATCTGCCTGCACAAATATTTCTTTCAGCAAGTTTACATCATCTTCTTGATTAGTAGTTAAAATGTTTTTCAGTTTCTGAAGAAACACGTTTCGTAAATTCTCGTGATCCTGATCACAATTTTGAGATTTATCTGAAGGTAAAGTCATTTCTTGATTTTCTTCTTTGTCGTGTTTTTGAGAATACATTCTCGAGCTTTAATAGTCAACATCAAACTAGAAAAAAAGGATGAGGGAAAGAAAGAACAATTAAGCGTGACTTTAAATAAAAAAACTAAATTACATACATATCATAAAAAACACCAACCTTTCGCAAACACGCTTGCGCATCAGCTTTCCACCAATAAATTCAACTTTCTTGAAGAGATGGCGTAAGTTGCTTAGTGAACGTCATAATATAACGTTTTACTATTTCAGATGTCAATACGATTTTAGAACACCCTCAAACTTTCGCATCTAAAAGTATCCTTGCCTTCCTCAGTGAACGATATCTAGCTCAACGGTATAATGACATTTATTTTATTTTCTACCGAAGAGTAAATATATTACAGCTTTAGTTTCCGAAAAGGGAATCCCTTCAAGATATCCAACCTAAGTCCACTCAAAGCGCTCACTAGTGCACAATGGACCGATGCAGAAGTTACTTCGATTCGGTTATGATAGTTGAGGAGACAGAGGAATCACCACAGTACAACCAACCTTTCTCATTCACAAATCGTGTTACAGAATCCAATAGCTTACCATTTCTTAAAAAAACAAATGTTTTGAACTTATTAAGGATAATTTTTTTATTAGTTTAAAGTGTATTTACCTGCTACAATAATTTCAACTTAAATATTTAATACCACTTTGTCGAACTATTTTTCCAAGATAATAATTCAATCCGGATAGTTTTGTAGGAGACGTTCATTCATTCTTTTACAATCTACGTAATTGTATTGGTGTAAAGTGTGCCATTGGAAAACTATTTTCTCAATCCTGAACACTTCTCCCTGATCATTGTAATTTACTGTTCACTAAATAAAAACAACAGAAAAGCGCATGAAGCTGCATTTATTATTTTTTGCATATATACATGTAGGTCAACGACTGATGTCAACTATAGAAACTGCAGGAGTGTAAATTACCTAATGTCATTGGCTACTGTACAAAAATCAAAGTACATACTTCGTTTTTTGTAACGCCGGGGTCTACATTTACGATGGAATATATCACAGCATTTCGCGTCTTTCTCGGCCGCGCCGCTATGTAGCATCGAGATACCACTAGACACAACGCACTGTTTGATACGGTCGTGATTATGTGACATCTAGCGGCACGGCTGAGAAAAACGCAAATATCGTGAGATATTCCATGGTGAAGAGAGAAGCCCTGACGCGACACGTTATAAAAACCGAAGTATGGATGAATATTGAATTAAGAAGTATGAATGGATGAGTATTCGTTCTGGCATAAGGTTATATTACTCGCGCACCTTTCCTTGAACGAGGACCTCCTTTCCCCCTCTCTGTCACAATAAACAATTGAAGGCAAAAGCTCGCAGCGAGCACTGATGACAACATTCCAAACACATCTTCACTACTGAGAAATGGAAACAATTTTCTTTTGAAAGGGAGAACTTCTATCCGTTATTTTTTCCAAAATTTAAAAAAATGAACGATGCAGGTAAAGATCTATCACAAGAGCTACCTCGAACTCCTGAGAAAGTTAAAACGCAAATTATTGAGAACGTTGCGAAGCCATGACAGCTTCTACAGAGATTAGCATTGCTTCATAAAATTAGTGGCCGATTTTGTAAATAATACCCCCACTCTACCCGCATTTCTTCAATCCATCGTTTCAGAAAAGTTGCGCAAGTAATAGTCAGATCTGATTCTAGCGCGTTGGCAAACTTGGAGCGCTGCAATTGGTTGCACCAGCTACGATTTTTGTCACGTGGTAACCGCGAACTTCCGAGGAACGAAATTTTATGACTGATTAATGATTCTATATTCCTCCATGAACGATGTTTCGAAAATTAACCGATCGCAACCAAAACTCAACCTACTGGCGATAGTTATAACTACGTGCTTATTTTGTGAAAGGAAAGATTTGACGCGCCCAATTTAAATTGTGTTGTGAAATGCCTAAACCACTGTCTGTTTCACCAGTACATAATAAAGTGTCTGATAGTCTATCCAGAAGTTATCTTACTGATGTTGAAAATTTGTGTTTTACGAGTGCCTGATAAATCTATCCAGTTGTCAAAGTATCCGGTAAATAATCTGGAGGTTCGAGAGGCTGTAAAATGTTTATCTGGTAGATAATTCCAAATAACAGAATTTGTGTGTTGACTTGCTGTGATTTTTAAAGAATATCTGCGGTATTTCCGTGATAGACAATGTAATAGAGATGATAGACAACGAATTCTTTGATGGCTTACAGCGTCCAACTAGACGGAGTGTTGGCCAGAATATTTGGAGATCCTTGATGAACATGATTGCAAATCCCGTTTTAGGTTAAGGAAGCCTACAGTTATCAAAGTTATGTCTTTGATAGAACAGAAAATAAAAACAAATGATTTGTGAATACAGACTATATTTCTGTAATACCCTGGTAAAGTAACGGTCTTGTTAAATTCATTTCATGTCAAAATAATAAAATGTATATTTGTGTTTTGTTAGCAATTCTGAGGTATCACCAATGAACTGACTTCTTCCCACACTGTGTTATTTTGCAATGGGATCATTTTTTATCTTATTAGAGACTTTATTGAGGTGAGCAATCTATTGCTTCAAGTGTAGTGAGTTCATGAAGTTTCCAAGGAATATAGAAATTACCCAAGAAGACTTATGAAATTGCTAGATTTTTTAGTTCTTGCTGCAATAGATTGCGCATGTTCCCATACAGTCACCTGGTAATATGTAACATACATTTTGTCGATGTTTAAGAGAAATGACATCTCCAAAATATAGTTTGCAGGAGAATGTTTTTATGTTGAGTGGAGCCGATTTTATAGTGTTCTACCCTACATAGTGACTGTCTTGTGAACTATCTTTATGAAATATTTTCTAATAAATTAATTAACACAAGTATCCATTTCTTTTTTAACAATCAATGTGTTTTTTCTCCCCCCCCTTTCTTTCTTAATAATATGTCTTCATTGTTCAACACACTGATTCGTGTGTCAATTACACTCATCAATATATGTTAGATATGTCTCTTTGGCATGATTTGTCTGAAAATAAAAAAATGTCAAACAAATTTTGAAGATAGTTAATAAAATAAAAGTCCTGTAAATGAAATAAATGAAATTCATTAAAAATCAAGTATAAGTGAAAAAATATATAAGTAGTAAGTAGAAAATATAAAAGTAGACGGGAGAGAACTTGCCAAAACATGTTAAATTAAGCAGATATTTTTAGGAAAAATAGAACTATATAAAAAATGTTATCAAAAAGAAAAATCCAACCAGAAAAAAAATAAACAAATAATTATAATCATGAGAACATACTTATACATCTTCACTTTCAGGAGAGAGGCAAGTTGTGGAAAGAGAGAGAGAGAGTAGATCAGCATGAAAAAAAACCTTATTATTTTGAATAGACTACTTTGAAAGTAAGTAAAAATGAATAATCAGAGGTTGAAGGAACAGATCTTAACGTAAGTGCATCAATAAATTTATAAAAATCCCCACCACTTTGTGGTATTTGTACACCTATTTAATGATATCCAACATTATAAAAAACTGACCTAAATTCAGTCATCAAAGACAATCTACTAATCTAAATAAAGCTTTAGATACCTTATTGTATTCGACTGAATATCAGAACAAATTGATCAAGTTTTGTGAAAATTGTAATATTCTTAATGACATATGATAATACTGTGTAAATTTATTGTGTATTGTATGTGATGCCATTCAATGTTAGGATATATATGTTATGACACACTATGTTAATGTAATGATGAATGAAATTATAATTGTCTAAACACGTACTATAAATCATTGGTCGCTAATAATCTTAGTTGTTTATGAAAACTAAAGAGAAAAAAATATAAAGGCAATTGGAATCTATCACAAAGTATAAAAATATATTGTATGGTATTTTTATTTTAGAAAGAACATTGTCATAAAGGTTTGTAAAATTATTTACTCTGACATGGAATTAACAGTCTTGCGTTTTTATCTGTAGTGTTTCTGAGAATATTCTAGAACATTTTCTGAGTCCATTATCCAAAATTAGTTTTTATTTTAGAGAGAACATTGTTGTAAATGTTTGTGAAAAGATTTGATTCTAACATGGCATTAATAGTATGTTAGAATGTATTAATACCATGTTAGAAACTTATAATGGATTACTACCATGTTAGAGTGAAATCTTTTCACAATCATTTATGACAATATTATTTCATCAAAATATATTTTTTTGAAGAAAAAGATTTTCATGATTGTTAAGAAGTCAAAGAATACATAAATTATTATTATTATTATTATTATTATTATTATTATTATTATTATTATTATTATTCAAGTGACATCATACTTTTTTCACATTTTTATCTGTTTAAACTTTTCTAAACTTTGGAGTTTTTGTACAATTTGTTTTGCTGTTGTTAGTATTTAAAATAGTTTGTTTCATGGGTCTTCCCACACTCCTCTTAGTAGGATTTTAATTGAGAAGTTCTGAACTTCATTCTGTTAAGATGTTTAAGTCAATTTACTCTTACTTTTTATTTTCTTAATTTAATTGCAAATTATACACTCTGAAGTTCTGTTCAGGGAGGGAATAGTATTTAGAAATTTATTTTTATCATATATAATAGGCTGGTCATCAAGTCTCAATATTGAGTAATTTATGAGAAATAGGCAATAGAAATTAAAGAATCCATTATCAATGATATCCTCCATAATCATATCAAAAATTGCAATGGATTTCCTTGCCTTACTCCAGTTATGATTTCAGAATTGGTCATTTTTAGTAAGCATCATTTCCATTATAATTTTGTAAATAAATAAATAAAAAAAGACTGAACAGTTATTATCAATTTTCTTAATCTCTTTTCAGAGCTTCATATGTTCATTAAAGATGTTTTCCTTCGCAAAAAGCATCTCCCACCGAGCTACTGGAAACCTTTTCAATAGTTATCCATGCCAATCCCTACCCCAGTACATGGTAGCATCATTACCTTTTCATTCAATAATATATTTCCTCTCTGCAACGAGGGATAAAAGTCTGTTTCCTCACGTGTAAATAAACTCATCTTTCCCGTTTATTTTCCCTTTCCTTTTTGAAACTGCTACACACACAACGTAAAAATCTATAAAACAAACTTTTACACCAAACTCGTACGCAGTTCACGCCGAAGTAAACTGTAACACATAACAACGACTGAAGAGAAAAACGCCACACTTCCATTAGCAAATCACATTCGAATTCGCGCGTACAGTGTGCGTTTGACTCAAAAATGCGACATTGCCGCTGGTGAAGGAGCAATTAGCAAGATTATTTATCATAACAATAATAATATAATTTATTGAGTCACATGTACAACTACAATCGTGTATGACGAGTCAAAATGATGTCTTGGGTGGAGAGAGCGAAGTTACATTACTGTCCAGGAGCGAAACAAGGGGCGATCTCAGCATTTGCTCAAGGGACACTGAGCAAAAACCCTGATCGAGATGGAGTCATTGGCCTAGGAATTATACTACACTGTCCGATATTTTAACCAGAAAGTCCTCGGTGAAACGAAAAATAAATATCAGACAGTTTTAACTGACAGATACGTTATCCGTGGGATTTGTATTCGGAACTTGTTCAGGCACCGGTGACACAGGCTGTAAATGCTTCTGATTTGCAAAGTGGTGCTTATAAAGCCATCTTTATAAGAAACCTTCCCCGGAATATGCGCCCCTTCAGCCACCATTGGTGGCGAATCGAAAGCGGTATGGTTCGTTTGATCGATTTGTATCTCTAAACGACGTAGCCAACATTTTGTTTGAAAGGCATTTTTCGTGACCTCACATCATAGGCTTTTTATACAAGGGCAACAATCATATTTTCAAAACGACGAAACTTGATACCTCCGCTATTCAGAAAGCCAGTGTAAGAATTTAATTTACTAAGTTATATCTAGTAATATTAAGTACTATGCGTTTAATTTTAATTATATTTATTAATCTTATTTTTATTATTTTATATTATAGTATTTATTTAATTATTTTATTATATATTTATGACTTCTTTACCGATTCTATTTCTTTATATTTACATTAGGTAATAACAATTCCATACAATATGTGTGAATGATTCAATTCATTGTAAAATTTGGTTCTCTCTCTTTTTAGTTCGGTTGTAGAAATGAATGATTTATTCATTCATGTGAACTCTAAGCTTTTCTTTGTTGGTGTTTTTTTAATTTTTTTAAATGTAAAATTAAGAATTTTTGTTTTCAGATGCCATCAGATTTACAACTGGAGTACTTTTTGTCCAATAAGAAAACTGACTGGAGTACTTCAACAGCTGTTGCCCATCCTGTACCTTTTAAAAGTTATTTGCGCTCTCAAGCACTGAATCCATTTTCCCAAATAACCAGTAGGCCAGGGGTAAATAAAATATAAGTAAAATACACAAATAACCGAGTATAATTCAGCTCTGGTTTCTATGAAATATTACTAACAAATGTGATGGATTTAATGCTTTTTTAAAAGAACACTTGTATTGATTACTATTATACTTACTCTATAAATACAAGTTACAACACATAATCAAAGATTTTATATATTTTTTAAAAATTTTTTTTAGTGTGTTCCATTGGTTCCTGTCCCACATTCTTGGATGTTAGATGATGACGTTCTGATGAAATTGAGACAAGAACAACATGCTACTACTGCTAATTCCAAATACACAAATAAAAGTATTTATCCAAGGAATAAAATTCATCATGCTTCTCCATCGTGTGAAAAAATTCAATATGTCAAAAACTTTCTGGAATATGTAAGCTTTATTTCCTCTTTTATTTCATTGGGTGTAGATTTGATCCAAGAATAATTTATGAGTTCAATATTTTGTAAATTACCATCATGAATTTAGAATATTAGTTATTTTTTCAAAAGGAAATTTTGATCATTGAATAGGTACCTAATATTACAAATAGTGCAATTGTTACAATAAATCGCCACCATTGTCATCTTAAAAAGATCATGTGTATATTAACGCTGTGTTAATGAATTTTTTTAAAAGTATCTTCCTTACATATTAGTAATTTTATTGAAATGTGATGCACTTTTTTTATTTGAATTAAAGGAGAATGTTCAATGCTCATCAGTTTGTCATCTCCTCAGTGTTTATTTCAGAACCCTCTTTCTTGATACTGCTAACTGATCTTGCCACATTTTTGTGCTTCATGAGATAATGTCTGGCACAATGCATTCCCCACACACCACAGCTACAGTTGGGTTTAGGTTTGTTGGTGGAAGTCCAACACCTTCTGGGAGCTTCCCAGCCCTCTCAGGACAATGGGGCGGGCACACGACTATGTCTTATGGCAGCTGATAAAGCGCCATCTAATGTTCGAGCTGAAAACAAGGCATAAGCCTAGTAACCGAATCTAGTTGCCTGAAAAGAGAGAGAAAATTGAATGTGTCTGACTTTGTATTAGGGGGAAGACTTGAACTGCAATTCTTGTAAAGAAACTTTGTCGTTGGTAATTGGTCTCTGTCCAGTGTTGATTTATTATTCCTTCAGATGTCAGTTGTCAGTTTTGAAGAAAAGTTTCCAGATGGCCTTCATCTTCATGTGTTTTTTGAGATAATACTTTTTTTCATATTTTTTCTTTGTTGTGTACTTGTGAATATATGGTGTATGGAGAAAGTTATATGCTGCAGAAAATGGATTTTGAGATTTCAACGGAAATAAGTGTAGTGTAAATATCAGTGACGTGAGAGATATAAAAAAAAATTTTGTATAATTTTTTAACAAATAGAAGATTAGAGCAAAATGGCATTTTTGTCATCTTATTCAATGTATGAACTAAGTACAAAACATTTCAAGGAAAAATTTAGAACATTTTGAGAAAAACCTTGTTTTTAAAATTACCTTTGTTTCATGCAAAATTACTCAAAAATGAAGGGGGGGGAATGTATATCTCCTCATTTAAATATCTAATAATGAAGAACGGATTTTATTCAGAGTAAAAATCTCTATCTTCAATACTGTATTATAGAAAGCCACCAAACAAAATTTTAAAATTTTCAATTTTCGAAAATTAAGATATTTCAACATAACAGACTTGCAACTGTTTTTTAAGCATCCTTTACACTATCCAATAACAAAATTTAATAAAAAAATTGGAGTCATTTTTGAGAAGATTTTGAAAGTGTCCTTGATGCTTCATGTAAAGTACCTCCACAATTTAAAACACCGGTTTCTAATTGAAGGGGCTGATACATCAGTCAGATCAATTGGGGAATCCCATTTTGGTGAAAATCCTGGTTATGATTTAATTGCTAGCATTATTCACAGACAGACGTTTTAGCGTAAACAAGTTTTCCAGTATCAAGGACCCATAATTTAGATTCTGACTACACAACGTTTTAGAAGAACTAGTGTTCTATATATAGGAACAACAATTGTCCACTTCTTCAGTATCAGGGATCTACAATTCAACTTTTTTCTGCTGAAATCTCGCTGTTTTTCACTGCTGCAGTATTACATAACTTTCTTTATACTACGTATGTAGTATGCAAGAAAGTAAACACACAAATGAAATATAAAAATACAACTCTGAAATATTAAAATACAGCTCAAGGGGCATATTGTTCAGGGTGTTGATACAATTTACAAAAAAAAAATTAATGCTGCTGGAGTTAGACTTCACAGTATCTTTTGATTCTCAGATTGCATTTTATTTTATTTTTGCAGCCACACAGGATGTTACTACCCAAACCAACTCCAACGTCTGGAAGTCATTATCAGGAAGAATATACTGAAAAATTTGCTAACAGACCAAAGCCTTCAGAATTTCATGGGTTACTTGATATTAAAAAATATAGTTCTGTAAGTTAACAGTTGCAACTACATCACTTAATTAATGATTTATTAAATAAAAATGTGTTTTTCAATGAGGTAAAATATCTGGGTAATTGATTCTAATGTTGTAAATGATATACAACAATGTTAAAGTATACTCGCACAATATTTTTTGTAATTCAAAAAGTTAGATAATAATAAATAACAATAGTAATAATAATAAATAGCAATAATATTAAAAATAACAACAATAATAATAAAAATAACAATAAAAATATTAATGTCAAGAAAAAAAAACATAATTTGATTACTCTATAATAACAAATTTATAACATTAATAATTTTATTTTAATGTTATGAATTTTATTAATTAATAAAATATTCTAATTATTGAAATGACTTTATTAAGACAATAATAAAATAGGTGATATTAATAATAATAACGATGAAGATAATATAATAATAGTAATAATAATAATAATAATAATAATAATAATAATAATAATAATAATAATAATAACAATATTAATAATAATAAGCATCATCATCGTCATCGTCATCACCACCATTGAGAATATGATTTAGCGATATTAGTGTTAGCCACCCCCAATGCATCTAACAATCTAGGAGAAGAAAAGGAAATTTTGGTCAGGCATTTTGCAGCAACTTCAGTGCTACTGCTATGAAACCAAGGCTGGACACAGGATTTGCCATGTTTTTTATTTTTATTTCTTTCCTTTTCAGCTAAAACTGTCAACACGAACCAAAAAGTTAAATGGGATGGTAATTTATATTTATTTTTCTTTTAAAGAGCAGTAGTGTTGTGGATTGTATATTCCTTTAAGTTCTGGTACTTGTTGTTTACCAGAAATGCTTTCAGTTAATTTTTATACGTATGTAAGTTATTGTTTTTATGTGGAATGATACAATCATTAGGATTTGTATTTTCATTTACCATTGGTGGTGTAACAGGCATAATTTTAGCCAATTCTATTTGTAGCACCACGAAAGAATATATTACTACTCTTGAAGCCAAAAATTACTTAATAAATAAATTATACTATACTCAGCAGTTTCATATCGAGATTTGTTTGCAACATGTTTCATAGTATTATGATTTTTACTTTTCCTCCTTTTAGATACTTGTATTTCATGGAACTTTTCCAGGCCAAAGCTTTATATGAACCTACATTCAACATTGTGCATGGAGGTGTAGAAATACATCTGGATCCATATGCTACAACGTCTCAGCTAACACATCGACCTTTTTCTCATTACGAACGAACGGGCATATTGTATGACAAAGCTGTTGGTAGTTTTCATGATACATATGAGGTTGCAAAGGTATTCCTTTTTTAATTAGTCATTTATTCTTTCATATAAGTTATTTTTATTGTTTTGTTTGAAATGTTCATAAGACATACATTTGTATATTAATAAGACATTCAAGACTTGTGTGCAAGAAACAGGTTAATGAGAGGGAAAGTGTACACACAGTTCAGTATATTACTGTGGTTTATATTAAAAAAGAATGATGCAACAGTTTAAGTAAAAGGCCTTCAGATGGTGGAAAAAAGTACTTACTTGCCATAATTGTGGAAACATTTCCCCCTTTTGAGTAAACATAATTTGAAATGTATTTGCCTGTTTTTGTTTTGTTTTCAAGGCTCAATTGTATTGTAGTTATATATATATATATATATATATA